CTGTATGGCAATGTCAAGCTCGGCCGAGTCCAACATAACTCTGAAACTTCTGATCGACTCCAAGGAAAAAAGAGTCCTGTTTGCTGAAGCAGCCAAGGACTTCGTTGATTTTCTCTTCACCCTTTTGTCTTTGCCAGTGGGAACAGTTATCCGGCTCCTATCGACAAATGGCATGGTGGGAACTCTCGGAAAGCTCTACCAGAGCTTCGAAAGCTTAAGCGACACTTACATACAACCAAACGTCAGCAAGGACATTCTTTTGAAACCCAACTCATCAATCGGCTCTTCTTCTTTGGCCACCCTTCTCTCGTTGACCAACAGTAGTGACACATCTGTTGGTAAAAAACTGTACATATGCGGGAACTGTCGTAGAAGTGGGTCCGACGAAAGGCCGGGAGCGAGGTGTACTAATTGCTCTTGTAGTTCCATCACTACGGAGCTCGTCTACGTGGCTCCCCCACCTCCTGATGCGGGGGTGTCGTCTGCTGAGGGAGGTTTTGTGAAAGGTGTCGTTACGTATATGATAATGGACGATCTAGAAGTCAAGCCCATGTCTACCATATCAAGCATTACTATGCTCAATAAGTTCAATGTTAAGGAGGTGGGTGCTCTTGAGGAGAAGACTGTTTCGGTTGGCATAAAAGAGGTACATGTGTTTATAATCGTTATGTTTTTCTAGTTATATGATTATATCATTATATATATATGTAGACTAATTGTGCTTGTTTCTGTGGATAGGGATTGGATTTGTTGAAGGCTTCGCTGCAGACAAATACTGTTCTCACCGATGTTTTTCTTGGGAAGTAGAATGCGGACGGCTTAGGCAATATGGTCACTTGTGGCCGTTTGTTTTTTTTTTTTTCTTTTGAAATTAGACCATTGTGCTATCTTTTGAGTTTGGTGTTTGGACTTTTAAGTTACAAATTAAGTGTGTTTGAAGTTTTGAGTTTTCAACTGTACATATGCGGGAACTGTCGCAGAAGTGGGTCCGACGAAAGGCCGGGAGCGAGGTGTACTAATTGCTCTTGTAGTTCCATCACTACGGAGCTCGTCTACGTGGCTCCCCCACCTCCTGATGCGGGGGTGTCGTCTGCTGAGGGAGGTTTTGTGAAAGGTGTCGTTACGTATATGATAATGGACGATCTAGAAGTCAAGCCCATGTCTACCATATCAAGCATTACTATGCTCAATAAGTTCAATGTTAAGGAGGTGGGTGCTCTTGAGGAGAAGACTGTTTCGGTTGGCATAAAAGAGGTACATGTGTTTATAATCGTTATGTTTTTCTAGTTATATGATTATATCATTATATATATATGTAGACTAATTGTGCTTGTTTCTGTGGATAGGGATTGGATTTGTTGAAGGCTTCGCTGCAGACAAATACTGTTCTCACCGATGTTTTTCTTGGGAAGTAGAATGCGGACGGCTTAGGCAATATGGTCACTTGTGGCCGTTTGTTTTTTTTTCTTTTGAAATTAGACCATTGTGCTATCTTTTGAGTTTGGTGTTTGGACTTTTAAGTTACAAATTAAGTGTGTTTGAAGTTTTGAGTTTTCTTTCCGGTTTAATATTAGTCTGTTTTTCTAGAAGGCTGGCTGGCTTTTGTTTCTAAGACTGAGAGAGTACTACATGTGGCCAAAAACAGGAGAGTTATATGTAATTTTTCATTCAATTTAAAAGACCAATGGTGGTGTTGATTTGCAGTGTCATAATTAATCTGGAAATGATCTTAATGCATCTTTTTTTGTTATTATTTTATTATTTATTTAGAGTAAAATTTGTTGCTTATTTGTCATATATTTTTTTAATTGGATAAAATCCCTAATTTTGTAATAAGCAGAAAACTTTATTCGAAAAATGAAAAAAAAAAAATCTTGCAAACTAAAACACAAAGGACCAACGCAATATAAAGAAAAACTCAAATCAAAAGCAAACAAAACAAAATTAAGCAACAAAGAGAAAATCCTAAGAATTTTCTATTTTTAAAACCCTTCCCACTATGAGCTCTAAACTCATAGAATGACTTTTGTTTTCTTTAGCTTTTTGCTCAATTTCTTTCCCAACTTATATAGTAAGATGTGCCCCC